CTCCTCTAAACTCAACACAGTGTCAGTTTACAAACATTCAAACTTTATCACCTCCCTTCATGTCTACATTCTCTTTTCCAAATAGCACCAAAATTGCCCTTGTTTCCCCAGTTTGAGATGCAAGAATTGCTATTTAATCTCTGTTTAATTTATATGTAATTTCTCTTTTGCATGAAACCATCGACATTTCTTGTCATTTGCATACTGAGTCACTCTAAATGTGTTTACATTAGATAAAATATCAAAGCAAACATCATGCGCAAACAAATGCTGCTCTTTCTTTTATATAAATACCAATGTGTCCAAATATTTTTTAAAGCCACTGTTTCAGATTTTTTTTTTCATGCCTCAACGCTTAATTTCATTGCTGAATATAATTGCTGATTCATTCTATTTGATTGAGGATGTGTTTTATGGGTGTAGAAGATCATCGGCTGAGAAGGATTACAAACGTAAAACACCTTCCTGATTTTAATTACCTCATATGCAAATGTTTTCCTTAGAATCTTTTTAATGCAAAACTTTGTAGATTGCATTATGAAAGATGATTGCTTTAAATTTTTTCAGTTGAAATTTTTTTAATAAAACCCATCACAGATTGTAAATTGAATTTAGCTGACATCTCGGAAGATCTTTCTGATTTTTGTAGACTTTCTGTTTTGTGAAGTGAAGTATAAACACAGGCCATAATTATGATTCCTTCAACTGTCTGGTTCCTCCATCCGTGCTGCATCAATGGGACGATAACTGTCCTATCACCATGGAAAAAAACAAAACAAAACAAAAACATCTACACCATTTTACAGCATAATCAGAAAATTTACACTGAAACTCACATGTTTTAACATGCACTGATCTGATGACTTATGGATTATGCCATTAATTTTTAGAGGAACTTGCATAGATTAATTCAGTGTTCAGTGCATCAGCCACTCAAACACATGAATCTAATTCATAGAGGTCATTTAAGACATATTCAACAAATACAGTGGATACCAAAAAAATATTAATTTTTTTCATTCAGCTTTATTTTTCATTCAGCTCTCATTTCTTGT